CTCCAATTTCCGATCGCGCTCGATCACTCTCTTCCTCCATCCGCCACACGAAGCAGAAGGGCATGGGAAGCATTTTTCGATCCCACGTCCTGCTTCCTTAAATAAAACCAAAACTCCGTTTTGAAAACGCCTGCGAGACGCTCAAATTAAACGATATGTCGGCGTTTTCAAAATGCCACCGCAGCAAAAACGACCTCCCAAACTCACCCTAAATGAAACAACATTCTACCTCAAAATTGAGTTGAAAACTATTTAGTATCGAGGGTAAAAATAAAAAAAATAATAATTATTAAACCAAAAATTGATATTAAAAGAGCATTTAATTTTCAAGCAAAAAAGATAATTTTTTTAACAAAATTACTTGAATATTCTATTCAGCCACATTTCCATTTCATTTGGCGAAGAATTCATATTAATTTAGTAAATTTTTTTTTATATGTAGCCACTAGCAATCTAAACGAGCATCACCCCTCCCAACAATATGATCTTGAGGACAAACTTTCAATTTTCAATGAATTTGAAGCAAAAACATATTAGATATAGTAGAATTGTGTTTTGCATCAATAATAATTACTCTTACACAACTTAAAATATTAAAAAATAATTGCAAACCACAATGATCAGTGATAAAGGAACATGTATCGAGAAGATAAAGAGAATAAGGAAGAAAATAGATTAGCCAATATAAATAATGCTAAAATTAATTGATGAAAACCAGACTTATATCAAACATTTGTATGATATAATGGATTATATGATTGAAAATGTGAAAGGGTTAATACATCAAAAAGAAGTAAAAATAGATAACAAAGAGTCCACCTTCCATAAGGTGGCGTAATACATTTGCATGCAAAGATGAAACAAAAACAATACCTCACCTTATTGTTCAGTCCATTCCCCTAATTCAACATAACAATTAAATACTTAGTTTATCTTAGCTTAGCCCCCAAAAAGTTTATTAACGTCTAAATGAATTTGTTCTTAGGTATTATAGACATACTTAGCAGAGTGAAACCTCAAATCATATTGCTAGAGATAAAGATATAGCAATATCAAATTCTCGAAGAGGCCTTTTCAATATATAAAAGAGAGAAGAATAATTTAAATTTGTTAACTTCATTGAACTTAGTGGTGTTTTAGTCAATCATTACTCAATAGCCTCTAAGGCATTACAACAACAACAACAACAACAAAGCCTTAATCCCACTACGTGGGGTCGGCTACATGAATCCTTTTTCTCCATTGCGTCCTATTTAGTGTCATATTTTCATTTAGTTCTAGTAAATTAAGATCATTTTTAATACAATAAGCCCAAGTCTTCCTAGGTCTACCTCTGCCTTTCTTAACACAAGTCGAATTTAAAACATCTACTCTCCTAATCGGATCATCTAATGGTCGACGTTTAATATGACCAAACCATCTAAGACGACTTTCTCTAATTTTGTCTGTCACAGGAGCTACACCAACCCTATCACGAATATATTCATTCCGCATTTTGTCTCTAAGTGTAAAGCCACTCATCCACCTAATCATTCTCATCTCGGCAACACTTAACTTATTATTATGCTTCTCTTTTAAAGGCCAACATTCAACGCCATAGAGCATTGCAGATCTCACCACCGTCTTATAAAATTTTCCTTTCAGTCTTAGCGGTACTTTTCTATCACACAAAAGGCCCGAAGCATTCCTCCACTTCAACCAACCAACTTGAATTCTACTATTAACATCCCCATCTATATCACCATAGGGAAAGAAATTAAAGTACATATTTTATTATCAATTAACTCAAATAGAAATAAGATCAAACTCAACAAGTTGATGATTTAATATTTGTGCATTCTAAATGTCATCTTTTACATAAGAAGAGCCTATAATATATTCAAGAATAGACTAAATTGTGAGATATTGGTAGGTATACATTAAATATGATATAGATATCATTAGAAATCTTGAATTTGCTAAGCTCTCTTTTGATGAGCTCATTTCAAAACTACAAATTTTCTAGATGAAGGGGGAGAGGCCATTTGAAGCGTGCAAAGGTGCTAGAGATAATGATGATCATAACATGGAAATTGTTAACTATAATTAATTATACAAGATTAACATGCTCATATAATCATATTTTATTTTATTATTTTGAAGAGAATATTAGTATTACTTCTTAAATTTTTTATATATTGTAGGAAATGTTGATACTAAAAAAATATGTAAAAACTAACAATGATTAATTAAAACTATTGCTGATGCATTAATGAGAGATGAATATTTCTACAAATGATAAAGCATTTCTTATTATTATTGATAGTACTTAACTTTTTTTTGTCATTGTTAATTTTTTTAATAGAAGTAAATGTATAACATATTATACTTCATTATGTAATGCCTTTAGTAGAAAATACTAGAATCAATAATTTGATTACATATTATAAGTTCATAGTTTAATAATTGTGTCTACAATATGCCATGTCTCTTTTAAAATAACACTTTGTTGTTGCATCCGTGTCAAATGCTTCATAATTTGTAGTATTACATGCCTTTGACATAAAAAAATCGGCAAGACCATATGCCACATACATAAATATAGTATAAAAAAATGTATGCATGAAATTTATCCATCACTAAGTGAATGCATTATGATAGGAACTCATAATATACTCAATAAAGTGGCACCTTTTTAATCAGTTATTAACATGTATTTGTAGTTGCATTCAAGCAATGTACTTTGGTATCGCCTGTTTTGTTTGGCTTGGGCTTTATAAAATTGCTTCGATACAGAAAAATCCCTTCAACGAATAGATGGTTGTAAATTCACAATTTCAACATTCTTAGCAAAATCAAGTCCAACCCATAAACATTCATTAGCTGCTCTATCATAGCACATCAAAAATTTTAATTTTGATTTAAAAGTACTTGCCAATTCAATAATAAATAACCTTTATATGGCTAATTTTTTTTCTTATTAAATACCAGCGTATTATTTGTGTCTGTTAACTCATCCCAAACCTTCCCAAAGTTGAAACTTTCAAATAGCGCATTTTGATTGCATAATAAAATTTCACTGCAAAAACAAATTACCGCATGCTAACTCAGCTCATATGAAAATGCATCTTGCTCTCACTAATGCCTAGTAACAAAGTAAAATTAGCACAACAAGAAAGACCTATGCATCCATCTAGTTTGGATGCCTAAAAGCTAGATAAAAAATAGGAATACCTTTCCATCCATGGCAGTTATTGCAGCTGAGGCCTCTTCACCAGATGTGAAAGTTATAAATCCAAAACCCCTTGACCTCCCAGTCTCCCGATCAAGGATAACCCTAGCTGGAGAAGTTGTGAATTTGATTGTTAAAAAAAGCTCTACAAAACCATAATGAAGACGGCAGAATATTCAAAATATATATATGTATACCTTCAATAACTTCGCCATAGCCAGAGAATGCTTCCCTAAGAGTTTGATCATCTGTGCCATAAGAGAGTCCTATCAAAATGCAAAAGAATATCAGATGCAATTAGAAATTAGAAATCAAACCCAGAAAGATCCAAAAATTAACAAAGCTAAAATATCGGACCTCCAACAAAGACTTTCGATGATGACATGCATCTCACTGCCTGATAGATTGAAGGTTTAGATGACAACGCCTGCTTGAGGAGACTCCCAATTTTACTGGTAAAGGCCATTACTCTGAACTTTCCAAAGAAGAAATAGATTAAACCGTAGAAATGAAATGAATTTTATCAGTATCAAAAAAGAGTCCGATGTTACATCCCATATACAATAATGCATTTTGGTTACAGAGAAAGCAAACAACTGTCGAAAACAATGGCACAGCATGAAGCAGTCGGAACATAAATCATCGAAGTGGCGGCATGCTCATTACCTTACGATGACGCCTTAAATTTTATTACTTTCTCTATTCGATTAATTCGCATAACCTGTTCATAATTCATTAATCAGCCAAATTAGAAGGCGTTTTATATTTCGAAACATTCAAAAGATTAATCAAACCAAAAGAAAATCGAAAAGAAGGACAACATCTAGCAAGATAATGCCCTATCAACACCACAGATAGAATAACAAGGCAAATCCATCTATACACCGCTTTCTGATACCAAAAGAGCTCAGTCGACCATAGAAAATTAAACCGACAAAAAAGAGATGAGAAAGTAGCAAAAAAATTGAACAGCCCCGAACACCCTACTGTAATCGATAGGCAGCATCCAACAGAATCAATCATCGAATAAACAAACGCATCATAAAGCCTAGAGGAGAGGGTGAAGAGAGAGAAAATACCGATCAAGATTAGGGTTTAAGATTCCCTTTCTTTACCTGTCGATTGCCTCCCCCTTCCCTGCTTAAAACCCTAGGGCAGGCTGAGCCCGAGGTTTTATGTATTTGGCAGCTAGACATATAGCAAAATTTATATAAGCTGAGGATCAATCCTCGCCGTTGGTGTAAGATTATTGCTTATAAAATTAGGATATTTACATACAGACCAGATAATTCTCATCTTTTAAAATTTTAATATTTAAATTTTCAAATTTATAGATAGAAAGATTTGCATACATATCATTTAGTGTGTGTGCATGTGTGTGCCGTGTACTCAGATCAGTTGGTCGGGCATCTGCTTGTCAGTTGTAAGTCCCCCTTGGTCTGGGTTCGATTCCTCTCAAGTGTAAGGTGCGGTACTCGAATTCTTAGGCGTCGGGGCTTGTATTATAGCATCCAGTCATTCCTCATTAACCATTAGCAATATATTTATGTCAGATGATTGTTGGCAATAACATTAGAAGTTGGATAGTGGTGGTCAATGAACAGGGATTGAGAAGTGATAAGCGAGCAATAACATTTGGAGGATGCTGAACAAATAATAATAGAATGGTGATGAAGATTAGGCAAGAGTGCTTATTGCGTACGAACACTGCGCTCAAATTTATAGTTTGTGTTCGATCTAGATCACTAAAATGCATCTTTTGTTTTTTTTATTATTAGAATGGGGCAAACTCTAAATATTTGAAGGTCCAATCGGACACCGCAATCCGCACGCAATAATTTTTCATTGGTCAATGACTTTGTGATGACATTGATTACTGATATGGATCGTAGACCTTAATTACCACACAGAGTATTATACTCTTCTTAGTTCTCTAAAGTCTCTCCAATTAAAATCCATGTCATTTCATTTGGAGATTTGCTTATCTGTAATTTTGAGAGTAGCAGTTTGGTTATTTTGGTCATAGTCTCAGAACACTTTAACAAACTATCTATATTATTTTCTTTGATCACAGATTATTGCGCCTTAAAAAGTCTTTGAAATAATCCTGAAGTTATTGTCAATTCTAATATGTTATGAGATTGGTGCTTGACCAAATGTATTTTTTGATGACTCAGCACCCAAAATCATTTTGCTAGAACTTTGAAGGTACATAAATTATGAAGTAATATAACATCATTTCATTTCATTTTTTTGTCAAAGGAAACACTAAAGAGATTCATTTTACAGTAAATATTTCTGTTACATAAAGTTTTCACTCAACAGAAAAGCCAACGAGAGATTACCATGCAAATTTTAACCAACAAATTTTGTAGGTAAACATACTGTCTCAATGAGAAGAATTATCTTAAAAGCCTTCACAGGTCAAATGCAATTGATATGTTTGCATAAAGTGGATCCCAGTGGTAAAAAATATCAAGCCCTTCAAAGTGCAAATGCATTTAGGGGTTGTATGGCAAGTGATGAGATTTAAGTTATTAGGATTTAATAAATCCCGTAAATTCAAATTTACTAAGTCCTAAATGGATTAAATTGCAAAAAAAATGTTTCTATATCACGAAAAAGAACTATTATGATTGCCCTAATCACCACCTTAAACATCTTATATTATTTCGACTATTGACCTTAAGTTTCACCTTTACCTATAAATATAAAAAGGACAACTCTATCATTCTTTGTAGGCTTTATGACCTCCTTGCACCTTATGTCGCTCAAAGTTCATGCTACTTTAGCCTCTCAAAGAACTATCACAATACACAACCTCAATACTTATCACTCACAGCTTAGTTTGAATGACTGAAGTGTATAATTTCATAAAAATAACATAAAACAATGAATCTACATAGAATAAGAACATATAAACCCTTACCAAAGTATTACAATTGGACCCTTGAATGAAATATAAGAAATATTATTCCAACCTCTAAGGTGCCTTAATAGTTAATATGAATATTACAAACATTTTGCATTATTGCTACATGCATCAACATACTAAACTATCATAACAACATGTGCTTTTGCTCCATATTTTGAATGACTGAGGTGTATTATTTCATCAAAACAACTCTTAGAATTAAGATCAGTACATCAACATACAAACATGAACAAATTAGTACTTCATCCAACATTCAATTAGATTATACAAAAGATGAACAAAACATGATTATTCTACCACCGATTCTCCTTCTCGATCCACCTCAAAGCTCGCCTTCTTTGAGGATTCATCATCTTCGGCGTCCCCTTGAAGAGCTCCCCTCGAAGAGATCCAACAATGCCAACTCCAAATCCTCCGGGTAATACTTAATGTAATGTTCGCGATGCCGCACCGCATCGAGATGGCTCGCATACCTTCCGATGAAAGTTCTGTAAGCTTGCAGCACCTTGAGTGATATCGAGATCCTCAAATCTTCTCTGAGATCAACGTAAGGAACAGACCAATTTATCTGAGTCCTATAAATCTCTTCGAACGCCTGGTTAAAGCGCTTGAATCTCTCCTTGAGAACAGTTTTTGAAGGAGTGCTGCAACCATGGTTGATGATGCCTTCATCCTTCAGGAAAAGAAGCACCGGATTCCATGAAGCTCGTTCGTAGTTTGTGGCGTGTTGGGTGAACTTCCGATTGTGCGAACGGATCCAGTTGTCCCCAAAAATGGGCTGGAGATCGGAGTCCTTCACCTTCTGAACCATGTAACATATGTTGTTCATCAAAAACAAGCTCTGCAGCGCAGCGTCGACGTATAACATCGATCTGTCGGTAAGGTTTGACTCAAGTATTGAGGTCACAGATTGTAGATTGGTAGTCATAGGAGATAAACCATTAGCCTCTTCCTGCAGCCCATTTTCTTCCCCAAGGAGCATATTCATGGTCACACTGTAATCTGCAAGTGCTTTGATGTAGTTCATGACATACTTTGTGAGAGGATGAACTCCGCCGCCGGCAAAACCGGTGGTTGATGTGTTTTGTCGAATCGCATTCTTGAACGCAAAAAAGGTTCCTCTCACATACTCACCAAGCCTGGACAAAATCTCATTGCACTCATTCACAACAAAAGAGCCTGACTCGTTTGGAAAAAGCAATTCGATGTCGGTGAGAAGATCGGCTAAGCCCTCATACATGTCGAGTATCCTGAAAAGCTTTTCGGGCTTAAGCGGTCCAACGGCTATGGCTTCCCCTAAGTTGAGAAATTGCATGATTGAACTCTTACAGATCTCAACAAAGCATGTCTGTCTAAGTGACACTGAAAACTCCGCAAAGATAAGATCACAAAGACGACTTTCGCTCGAAAGATAAACACGAACAAAAACTTTGAGAGCTCGGTTCCATCTCTTGATCATGGAATTCAGCGACGCCCATTCCAGCTGCAGGACTTCCTCGATGCTCAGTTTTTCAATACGAAGAACAGAAAGGCATTCATCTAGTGCATCCTTTCTGACACTAATGTAGGCTTGGCAGCACTCCTTGTCATACTTGGAAACAAACATTGTTTCAGCTATGGATCTGAGGTCACATAAAACATCAGGATGGATGAGATCGACGACAAAATCTTCGGATTTCCGGCTGCTGTCATGCTGGCTTCTACCCTGAATTGCTTCTTCTTCAAATGAGCTATAAGAGAAGTCCTCTGAAAGTTCGTCTTCCACAGAACGAAACGACATGTGCTCAGGCTCCAAAGGCTGCTTATACTGCCTCAACAGGTGCACAAACTCATCCTCAAGCCTAGACATGGCCATCTGAAGGGTGCTATCTGCGTAGCATAGCAGCTTATTGTACAAGGACGAGGTTATCAACCGATCAACAAGCTGCCGAATTTCGTCAATAACTTGCAGGAATTCAGAAGCTTCTTCAGGGTCTCGGTCCCATATCATGGATTGATCCGAATCAAAGTTGACAACTTTTTCGTGCAATATGCCGAGCCGCGCTTCGATTTCAGCCAATTCTCCTTCTTCTGCAAATGCAGCAACATCATTTATAATTGAGAACACAGAATCAGCAGGGTGAGTCATTTGTTAAAGGACTTGAAGAATTCTTTTACCTGTTAAAAGCTTCTGGTTGGTGACTTGGACGCCTACAACTGATGCACAATCTGCCATGGCTTTTGGGATAAAGTTAATGAGACAGAAAAAGGCAAAAAATCTGAGATAGTCTGTTCAGCAAACTTCTGATGCATCCGAGCCTCAATGACTCCTCATAATAGAACAAGCTTGAATCCTTTTAAACATTTACTGTTAAAATGGGAAGAAGAAGTTTATTTTAGAGTGAAATTTTGATGCTTGATAATAGCTATAGAAATAAACAAGTTTTGTTCAAAGAAAGAGATAGATATGCTAATTTAATTAATTTTTGGGATCTTATGAAAGAATCCAGAGCTCCTTTAGGAATAGAATGACAAAAGCTCCCGACTGAATTTATTCAGATTGCAAAAGAGAGAGGAACGAAGACAATCTGTAAACTCAATATAATCATAGACCGGATGGATTTAATAAAATAAGCTAACCTAGCTTGAAGACCACTGATAAATCAAACACATAAAATCCACCATACAGCCATGGATTTCAAACTTCCAAACACAATAAAAAAAAGAAAAGTCGAACAAGAAAGAAACCTAATTACAGTTCAGCTCTAGTGTAGAAAGGAAAAGAACCTTGAGTAGAAATCAATGAGCCAAGAGGAACAATAGAACAAAGAACAGACTGGAAAAGCCCTAAAAATCCAAACTTTAAGCTCCTGGGAACACAATACAGGAATTAAAAAAAGGGTACGAATTTTAGCTAAGAAAAACTTTTATCCCCCAATTTAAAAAAAAATCAAAAACGAAAACAACATCGCTCCGCAAATTACGTGGGCACGGCAGGAAGCTTCGAGGAATACACGAGCAAGCAAAGATCTCTGTCCAAGAAAACATCTTTCGAGGTAGAAGAAAGAGATAGCTTTGTCTTCCTCTACAAACCCTATTCAGTATTCCTTTCGATTGAAAAACAACCAAAAGAGGGTCACCGGAAGCTTCGTACCTTGCTCTAATGGCGATTTCGCTTCTCTCTCTCTCTCTTGAGCTGAGGCTGAGCTGACAGCGGGAGCTTCCTCGCCTCTTCTTCCGAATAAGATGTATAATATCGGAAAAGCCAAATTTTTTTCTTAAATTACGTAACGGAGATTAATTGGACAGCTGGATGGTTGTTGAGTGGGTTAGTTTCCCAAATTTAATGATGAGAGAAGCGATTCAACCGTCTGATCACGATCGGACGTTTGGGAAAAACGAAGATTAGAGGATCGAATGAATAAGGGAAGCTTTGAGTTGACTTTGTCATTGACTTCTTACTCTCAAAATTATAAGATAGAATTTAGCCCATGTTAAATTTATATTTTAAAGGAATTTTTAAAATATAAAAGTATACAACAAACCCCATTTGACTAATTTATTAAAAAAAATTGAATAAAATTATTTCAATATTTTCTTGAGAAATCTACGTAAGTAAGACAGAATTCCTATTTATTTATATCTCATGTTAAAATTTTGATGTTTACCAACATATCATTTTATCTATTTGTGAAAATATGGATTTGATTTATGATCATTGATAATTTATGATAGTTTTGATATGATAAGAAAGAATTAAGTGAAATATGAGATTCGGGTTTTAAATATGAAAGTCACACACCAGTCTTAGCCACATCTTTTGCACACACGTAGGTGTGTATAACTAGGTCATCTTGATCTGGATGGTTGATTAGAATAAAGTGGGGTGTAGTTAGGATTATCCTGTCTTGCCATCATTCATTAATTTGAGCCTGTATAAGTGTTTTCTATGTTGTCATTTTGCGTGTTTATTGGGTTTTAAGTGTGCATGCTGGTATGCTAGGAACAGTTTTTTGCAGGGAGTTATGCCCAATAGGGAAGAACAATCATTATTTGAGCTAACATCTTTTCTATAGATGTTGCTTAGCTCTCGTCCCACGAGACATAATTCAAAGAATTGAGAGTTATTTATGTAAATGCCCCTAATAATAAATACCAACCGTCAGCATTTGAAAAATCTATCAATACCTAAGAACTATTTCAATTGGTTTTATATCTTATTGAAAATTATATCATGAAAGTCATATATAATCCTCATTAGGAGCGTAAATGAGTCAAATTTAACTCTAAGTCATGCCTGACTTGAGCTTCATCTATATTAGTTAATCATATTTAAACTTAAGGTTTATATATCCGTGATATAATAGTTGAGAGTATAATTTTCCACAATAAGGTTGTAGTTTCGATTCACAAACTTAACTCTACAAGTTTAAGTCAGCTCATCAGCTCTCTTTTGATGTTGAAGCGAAAGTTTAATGTTGATTGAACCGAATATTTCAGTTAAATGAAAAAAAATAAATAATAGCAATTGTGAGGGAGAAAATGATAAATTGAAAATTAAAATGTCTAATTACACTCCCAATCCACGTCAATAGACTATCTCTAGATATTCTGAGCCGCGGAGCACATGCAATGGAAAAATCATCACTTAATAATTACATTTCCCACTTTAAACGTCACATATTAATTATGTGGGGTTGTCTTTATGATTTCCTTAATACTAATTTGAACGCACAAGAGGGCTAATATTCAACTCTATGTACATGAAATGGTCATAATTTTCTTATGTTTTATTCTTCCCCCTCAAATTTTCCATTTCAGCGGCAGTCTAGATATACATTATAAAAATAGCAAAAGTCCATTAAACATTGATATTTATGTTCATACACTTGGTGACATAAATGTGCATGAAAATATATATGTTACTTTTAAGAAGATTAATAATGATAATATGTTTGATGTTATGCTAAACTATTGAGTGTTTTAAATATAAATATAAAATTTTATGTGTGGATATGTAAATACATAAAATAGTGTGGAATGCATGTAAATGGCCCAAATATATATATATATATATATATATATATATATATATGTCATAAATTTTTAATATAGTTTAATATATATTAATATATGTTTTTTAAAATTTAAATTATATAAAAATATTATTAGCTAGTATTTATTTGTGAGAAAAATAAGGGTTTCATGGATGGATTTTTTTTTTTTTTCACCAATGGTTGTTTGTGCTTGAGCATAGCTTTCTTTTTTTTTTCAAGTTTTTTTATGAATACTATTGCGTGGCAAAAAATTTACAATGATTGAGTAATAATATAAAATCGTAGAATCCACTTTTATAATGTATACTCGAATATGGGCATACAAAATATTTTGTTAAAAATTATGTTGTTGAGTCAAGCTCACCTACCGAAGTGACTGAATTGAACCCACATGTCGAAGTGGCTCAACCAAGCCCTCCTACTGAAATGGTTGAATTGATCATCCTCACCTTCCTCGTGAAGACAACATAGCTCACGTGTGTGGGGGCAGCAAATCTAGAAAGTCATAATGATCGATAAGAATATCTTTCAATCACTCATTAAAGGTGTCATCCAATACTGGGGATCCAATGCTTTCACGCAATATCTTATATTAGTTGGCAGTACCTAACATTTACATCATAAACTTTTCATTAAGGTATTAGAGAGAGCCAAGAATACTGCAGGGGCGGAACCAACCTTTACTTTCACTGGGGACAAATTTATTATGTGTTGCACTCTCTCATGTAATCAAGGATAAGAGTTTTCATCGATACGGATAAAAAAATCACAAGACTAGCTTTCATCCAACATATATAAGATAAACAAAAGTAAAATGCAAAATTATAATGAAACTAATATTTACTTTAAAACTATTGCAAAGTTAACATACAAAAATTGTTACATATCTTTAAAGGCTTCTCTCATGCTTCATGTGATAAAATTGTCATTGAATGGTAATCTTAATTATCAAAAAGTTTTATGTGATTTTGAAGAGAGAATCTTGCCCTGGATGTGGGTGGAAGGCAAGGGGCAAGCGGGGCAAACACAATTTATGACGGCCGTTGACGTATTTCAGAGATTGTTCTATAATTTCTTTCTCTCTCATATATAAGAATGGGGGGATATTTTCTCGAGGGGCCGCTTGATCCATCTTTTTGTCTCTATCTCTGGAATCTTGTAACGTAAAAAACCTTCAAAGAGTGAGAACAAGCATATTTCATAACATCCCTCCCAAAGAATCTCACCCATCTCTCTCTCTCTAGCATTCTATCGACGATATAAGGTCTTTTCTCGAGTTTTATGTACTCACGAGCGATACGAGACTCAAGATCTTAATAGAATTAAACACATACACATACATATTGATGCCTTGTCAAACTTTTATTGATCCATTCTAACACTGAACTGGATTTGATATATTTAACTTTTAATCAGGCTGAATAAAAAAAAAAATTAACAAATTGACTCGTATAATAAATAAATTATTTTTCTTTATGAATTTTGAAATTAGAGAGCCTAGTAGTCAAAAAACTTGGGGGTGTTCAAATTTCAACAAATTTATAAAATAAATTAAAAAAAAAGACTAATTCTCTTAATTTAAAAGTCTCAAGGAAAAAAAATAATAAATTTTGATGACGAAATTAACAAATTCCTTAAGAAATAAAATATTGTAACACTAACACATCATCACAATTTTTAAACATGCCTAATATATTTTTTTAAAATTATTTATATATAGACCACAAATGAAATTTGGCGATTAAAAAATAAAAATAAAAATAAAAATAAATTCTAAACATGATTATGTGAATATAATGTAACCAAACATTGCTATGTACAAATCAAAAATTAAAAGTGAAGATAAAACCCCAAATATATATGTGATATATATATATATATTATGTAATTCTAAATTATTTGCATATATCAATATTTTAGGTGCTACATGTAATTATCCCTATTATATGATAGTTGAGAGCAAGCCTAAGTTCTTCAAATGGCGTAGAGGTAATTATATCAACTCCTAAACTTACAAAAATGTGATGTGATTCAAAAGTGATTATGTCCAAATTTTTATTTGCTTTGACAAAATGATGGACTAATTATCATATTAATTAGCTCTTATTTATAGTTAAAAACAATTATGTTTACTTTTATTTCCTAGCTAGTTCGTTTTTTTATTGTTTACTTTATTTTTAAAAATATGTTTGGTGCGTATAAATTTTATATATTTTTATTTAATATTTTAAAATATTAATTATTATCTCACGATGACACTTCATAATCAATATAGTATGTCTTATGTTAGGAGCAATATGAAATCAAGTTTCAAGTCAAAATCATTGAATATTTTTTTTATTTATAGGAGGTCAAATCTTTGATATTTCATAACATTGCTAATGATGCCTTTTGGTCTATGATTGATGGGATTAGGGGTGTAAATCGGGTTCATGAATTGAGTTCGGTTCTAACTAGAAATTGACCAGTCAAAATTGCTTGACACAAGTGCAACCCAAATATTAAACAGGTCAGAAAGCCAATCCCAAACACGATTGATCTTCAACCCGCTAATCTAAACCCAACCTATTAACCTGTTCCACACAAGTCATAATAGTCACTCGAGTAAAAATCAAGTATAGCTAGAGTCAATTTCGAGTTTGCAGGTAGACTTTGAGTTGGTTTTAGGTTTGCAGATTAATAAAACAGCGGTGCACCGCCGCCACCTCAAACGGACCCTATGAAAGAAAATCGTAGGAATTTCTTATACTTTTTATCAAAAAACATTTTTTTTTTTTTTTTCCCCCTTGATCCTTCAAGGGCAAGTTATCAAACAAATTAATTTCAAGTTAGAAAACGGAGCATTTGACCATGACTTCAAAAAATGAAGGAGTCATTTCACGTAATTTGACCTTTGTTCTTTCTACAGCCAAGATAATGTAATAAATTAGAATATTACAACAATATTTTAATCTAACGTTGACCGCTCTTTAAATTCAATTGACAATTGTAGTCCAGATTTCACAAATATATGAAATTGTGGGAAATGGCTAATTCCAATTGATTACAGAATAAAGTTTTTTACGATTTTAATACTTTAAAATAATTTAATGTATTTTTTTTTTAATTTTAAAATAATGATATTTTGATGTGATATGTAGGGGTGTAAACGAATCAAACACGAACAAACAGTGCTCG